CCGCTGCCGGCGCATCCCTGCCAGCTGCAGCGGGCCTTACCGTGCCCCTCTCCAACCCCAGAAAGGGTAAATCCCTCCAGCTGAGCCTCTAAAAGGGTTTAGGCACCGCTCACTGTCCGGCAGCAAAGCGGTTCGGTGCTCAGCTGGGTTTTAGCCTCACATCTGATTTCCCTTCCCACCCAAAAAAAAAAAAGGCATTTTAAAGGCCCCCCCCCATGGGGTGGTAGGCAGAGAAGTGGGTTATTAAGGGCTGGGGGAAGGCAGAGCTGCGGCAAAAGCTGGGGAAGGAGGATGCAGGGAGGCAGCAGAGAGGCTTTTCATGCCTCTGCCAAGCAGAAAATGCTGCACAGGCAGGGATTGATAAACTGCAGGACATTTAAAGCGTAGGAGCACAACCCAGCGTCCGAAGATGATAAAAACACTGCCCCGACCAAGCCGTAACCCTCTCCTCCCTGTCCCACTGGGGATGAGCTTGCTGGGCGATGCCGCCTTGCCGAGGTCTCCTCTTGCTGCCGGTGGGCTGCCCTGGCGCAGGGCTGGGGGCAGGTTTCCCATCCAGCCCTTTCCCCAGGGACGCGGCTGGGGTGGTGCGGACTCAACAGGGGGGCCTGGGGGAAGTTTCTCCCCACGCAAAGCGAAAGGACAGGCGAGGGCCAGCGGCCGTTCCCGGGTTCATTCAGGGCTTCACGATGCTGAGCTCACCCTCGGAGCTGTGCCCAGGACCGGTCTTCAGCCCCAGCAGGTTCATCCTGTCTCCACCGCCACTTCCCAAATATTTAGATAAGATGGGGTGAGATTAGGTGCCTTCCTCAGCTGGGCAGCTCCCGTCCTTGCAGTGGAGTAAGTGGGATGCTGCTGGCCATCCCTGTGAGCGGGACCCGGCCCGGATGGTGTTGGCAGAAGGAGGGGAAGGTTTGGGGTGTGGGAGCAGGCAGGAGCAGAGCCTTTCCCAGCCAGGGCACGTGCTGCCTGGCACCTTGTTTCAGTGTGCAGCGAGGTCTTTTGCACACAGGACCTGTGCAGGCAAGACCTTGTGCACGTAGCATCTGTGCACAAGAAGGACTTGTGCACAAGAAGGACTTGTGCACACAGTACTCGTGCGTACACGACCTGCGCAAGCAGGGGCTGAATGTGCAACATCTCTGCACACGGGACCTGTGCAGACAGAGCGTGTGCATGCAGAAGCTTACGCAGGCAAGGTCTGTGCACAAAGGATCTGTGCAGGCAAGACCTGCGCAGGCACACAGGTCCTGTGCACGCAGCATCTCTGCATACAGGACCCGCGCACGCAGCGCCTGTGCGTGCAAGCCTGTGTAGGCAGCATCTGTGCTCGCAGGAGCTGTGCATGCAGGAGAGCGATCACCTCTACCTTAGTGAGCTGCCAGCTGCTATGAAGCATCGAGCAGATGCAAAAAGCCTCAGGGACATCTCAGAGGGGACGTGGGCTCCATCCACCCGGCTCTGTCCAGGCTAAACCCTGCAGGGATGCTCCAGTTTATCCGAAAGCAAAACACTTTCTCTTGCCTCCGCAGAGCCATGGGGAAGCTGTCCCCATGTCCCCACGTTGGTGGGGACAGAGGGTAGAAATGCGGGTGGTGGGGGGGCTGCAGATGCCCCTGCGGGCACAGGGTGGGCTGCACGGCCCTGCCCCCCTCCCGCTGCGGCCCCTCAGCCTCCCCCAGCTCACCCACCCTGCTTCCCTTGGGAACCTGCTATTCCCACAGCGGCCCTCAGACAAGGCCAGTGCAGGGCCCTGGTGAGGAACGGCAGCCAAGAGCTCGGCTTCTCGTAAAGAAACTACTTTTAAACTTTTCCTGTTCTGTGGGAGGCCGGCAGTGGCCAGGCGGTGCAAAGGGGTGGAGGAGGATGGACACAGCATCCCTGGCGATGGGGGGGGGGATGCTCCTCGGTGGTCCCCGGGTGGGAGGACGGTGCTGAGCCCCTACTGTCGCCGCAGGCCGAGTGGAGGACCACCAGCATCAACATCTCCTTCTTTGAGAGCTTCTGCTCGACGGGCCAGCACGCTTTCAACGCCAGCAGGGAAACGTGCACAGTGATGCTGACCTCCCGCGAGCCCCGCTCCCAGCACTGGGCCGTGCAGGCGGTTGTGCACCGTGAGTATGATCCCCCCCATCCTGCCCCGAGGGGGATGGGATGGGACCAGTGTCGGGGACCCCAGCGCGGGGATGCAGTCTGAGGCTTGGCAGAGCCCTTGGGGTCTGCTAGAGCTCAGCCGAGGGGCTCCTTTCCTTGGGTTGCCCCATCTCAGAGGCTTGGGAGAGGCAAAATCACCCCAGAAATGAGCTTTGCTCCCCAATGAATGCATCAGATCCCTCTCTCATCCATGATAAGTCAAGGCAGGGACCAGTCTCTAGGAGGAAAACTTCCCCCCAAGTGGTTAAAACCCAGCGCCCAGCTCAGATCCTTCCCCAAGGGACCACAGAGGGGAGTTTCTTGCCCATGTTGGAGCCCTTTGGGGAAACCCCGCTCAGCCGAGGGGTGCTCAAACGCTGCTTTAGCACCGGGGTGCCGGGAGGATGGAAGCATCACGCTGCCTTAGTGCTAGGGGAGGAAGGCCTGAGCCCCATCCTCCTCCTCTTTGTCATCAGGGCAGGGGCTGGGTGGGGCGGTCCAGCCTCCAGCACCCGACCACGGGCAGAGCAGCTGGGCCTTGGGGACTAATCCTGCACCGCTCCGGCATGGCCTGGAGTAGCCGGTTACAGCCCCTCGCTGGTCTCGCTTGTAAATCTCCCACCGAAGCGGAGACCCCCACCAGGGATTGCACAGCACAGGGCTAGGGGATGGTGGGGCCTGGGGTCTCCAGGGCTGTTCCCCTGCCAGGAGAAGAGGTCCCAGCTCCTTGTCTGGCTGTGGAGGCACCTGCAAGGCTTGGCTCCATGCCCACACAGCTCCATCCACCTCCTCCAGAAAGGGGGTCACCCCATTGACCGGGAGATGGGGGCACAACCTGCTCCCCCAACCCTGTGCTCATTGCAGCCTCTTTCTTCCCCCAGTCCCTTTGGACCCTGAAAAAGTCCTCGAGGAGCTGAAGGAGAAGAAGGACAAGTTAGAGGAGGTAAGTGGGTCCCCGGGCACAGTGTCATCCCCGCGGATGCCCCCCAAGTGGGTGGCACAGGAAGCCCTCCTCGGGGCCTGACCCATCCCTTCTGTGGCAGCTCGGCATCGCCAACATCACCTATGACAAAATGGAGAGGGAGATGATAATCAACGATGAGTTCAGCACGCCCCTGATCATCACCATCGTCACCCTGGCCGTCTCCCTGCTGCTGATCGCGGCCATCTACGGCTGCTGCCACCAGCGCTTCTCCCGAAAGAAGGACCAGGTAAGGTGGGAGGGGGGTGGGACAGGTACCCTGGGACCTTTTTGTCCCAGAGGCATCTTCAGGAGATGAAAATCATCAACGTTGCCACCTCTGCTGGTGGAGACATCCTGGCTCGCCCAGCGGGCACCACCCTCGCGTGTTGCCCAAGAGGTGCCCAAGTGCTGCGGATGCTTCAGAGGGGCAGGAACTGCCCTTTGGGGGTGTCGGGGTGGGGGGCAGCCAGGATGAAAACCAGGGAAACGAGGGGCTGGTGGTAGTGGGGTACGGCAACGAGCAGGATCCATTCCCATGGTCACCCAAGGCAGCTGAGCAGCATCCTTGGGTCATAATTTTGACAAGAAAGGCTTTCTCAACCCAACAACTCCCCCTTCAAACCCATCCATCCCTCCCCCCCAAAAAAAAAGATATCTCAAAAATACCTTTTTGAGCAGGGCAGCAGGGCTGGGTGCCCAGCATCACCTCGATGCCTTCCCAGGGGTGCCAGAGGCTGCGGGGAGCACTCGGCTGTTTGCATGGTGGGAGGACAGCAGGACGACGGCCAGAGGAGGGCATCTACGCTGTACGCCGGACGGCTCAGCCTTTAGGAGAGCTAATTTAGCCAGGGCCAAATGTCAAAGCAGCAGCAACAGGATTTGAGGAAGAGCAGACACGGAGAAAAAAATTAATATCGTTTTTCTCTCAGGAAGCAATACTGGGTGATTTTAGCGTAGCATCCACCTGCAAGGACTGGCCATTCCCATGCCCTGCGGCACCGATGGGGAGAGCTCTGCCACGTACCCGAGGTTTGCATCAGTCCCCGCTGCTCTTGCTGAGGATTTAGGTCCGGAGGAGAGACAGCAACAAAAAGGGGGGGAAAAAAAAAAAAATGAGGCCAAATGATGCAATTAGGGTAAATCACCCTCCCAATGGAGAGGCAAACCCCTGGGTCCTACTTCGAGTCGCTCCCCCACCCCCACCCCCCCCAAACCAGCTCATCCTTCCCAGGGGGTCCTAACCTCTGCCCCACGTGCCAGGAACTGCGTGAAGGTGAGGGATAAGGCAACCTTTGCTTTAGATGTTTGCAATTTAATGGAGGTGAACACAGGAGGCAGGGAAGAGTAAACCAACGCCGTCATCAGGCTTGTTTTTACAAGGTTTGATTTTCCAGGAGGGAGTGGGGGAGGATGCAAGACCTCAATAGATATTTGACCTCTGCGGTGGTCCCCTTGGAGCTTACGGGGTTTCACAGCCAGGCCATCACTCGGCTGAAATCTCCCTGCCGTGGTGAAAAACATCCCAGCAGAGACAGGGAGCAGCATAATGTTCTTGCCCAGTATTGTTCAGAAAATGGATAGAAATAGGGTATTTTTAGCGATGGGGATGCGTTGTCCCTCAAGTAACACGGTGCAGAGGAACAGGTACCAGCCCTGGCTGGATGCTCTGGAGGTGAACACCCACCAGCCACAGGGTAAGGTAGCAAAACCAAAGCAAGGGATGCCAGTGCCTCGGTATGGCTCTTGCTCAGAGCACGGGAAAAGATCTTTTTCCAAGCAATTGCAATAGGTTTTTAGAAAATCCAGCACATTTCTCCTTTCTGGATTTGTTTTTGGGTGGTTTCTTTTGTTTTCCTCCTGCTTCTTTTCCAAAAATGACTTGAAAGTTTTTTTATTTTTCTCCAACTCTCCCTCCCCCCTCCCCTTTAAACCCTGCTGTTGTTTTACCTTGGAAATAACCAGCACATCCACCCTGATCTCCCCGGGTTTGATGATGGACATGTGGCCCTGATCTTTAATGTGAGTTCCAACACAGGGATCGGAGGGGCGGGCACCGCATCCGTAACACCCCCAGCTCTCACCCCTGGTGCTTGGTAGGGTTCAGTAGCTTTTAACAGGACTAAAGCCTACTAAAGCCCAGCTTTAAAGACCCCTTCCCCTTGCTGCACAGCGGGGGGGTGCCTTGCCGCGGCGGGGAGAAAGTGCTGCCCGAGCATCCATCTGGGGGTTCTACCAGCAACCCTGCAGGGGGAAACAGCCCCTGAAAGAGCCCAGGTGCCTCCTCCGCTTTTGAGCATCCCGCCATCCCTGCCCGCATCCTTTTAGCCCCCCTGCTAGCGCCAAGCCCTGCGGTTTCACTTCTCCGTCCCTTTCCTTCTCCATGGATTCCCTCCCACACTTGTCTCCTGACATTTATTAGGAGCACTGTAATAAATCAAGCTGTAAATCCAGACGGATTTTAACGGGGTTGCCTACTGAGAGCCCTGCGCTTCCCAAAAAAGGGCTGACCAAGGACTGAAGCTCACCGGTGAATCCCTCCAGGGCGGGATGGGGATGAAGGAACTGCCGTGGCAAATGCAAAATTGGGATGGGCTGGGGGTCTGCCAGGGGATGAAGGGCTGGGTTGGAGCCTGGAGTACCATGTACCCAAGCGCCGGGGTGATGCAGTGCCTGATTCATCCATGAATCAGCCAAAACCACACACGGCCAAAGGAAAAGGGGCTGGAGGGGCTGTTCTTTCCCTGCCCGATTTCCACCGAAAGCTCCAGAATCGGGCTCCAGGATGAGGGGCAAATGGGCCGGCAGCATCTGCAAGGTGGGAGCTGCCCCCCCAGGTCGAGGGGGAGAATAACAATAAAGCAGCTAAAAAGGGACAGGGGGGCAGAAAGGGGAGAGGAAGAATGGAGTCAAGTTGGGGAGGCAGGAGGTGGGAGGCAGGGTCGGGGTACGGCAACGATGCTCGGCCTCTTCCTGAGGTCCCGGGGGACGGAGCTGTGGGTCCCCGGCCAGGCTGAAGCTGGCAGCTGCTCCTGGAGGTTTTCCACGTGTCTCTGGCTGCTCTTTCCTCCCTCCCACCATTAGCAGAGTCTCCTTCTTGCCAGCTCCACGCTATCCCCTTCGCTGCGCCGGCGCTGACTGCAGCCCCCAGCCTCAACCTCACCATGAAAGTCTCTATATGTTGTTATATACCTCTATACGGGGCAGCGGCCACGGCTGGCTGTGAGGTGATGGCCCCGAGGTGGCACGCACAGCATCACCAAGCTGTTTTTCACCAGGGTTTCTGGGTTTTCTTTCCTCGCAGCAGCGCCTGACTGAGGAGCTGCAGACGATGGAGAACGGCTACCACGATAACCCCACGCTGGAGGTGATGGAGACCTCCTCCGAAATGCAGGAGAAGAAGGTGAACCTCAACGGCGAGCTGGGGGATAGCTGGATTGTTCCTCTCGACACCCTCATGAAGGAGGACCTGGAGGAAGAGGAGGACACGCATTTATAGGATACAGAACTCGGATCAAGCAAAAAACGACCACGCCCAAAAAACCCCCACCCATAATCCCTACAC